GTGATGTATTGAAAAAATGAATTTTTGCTATTAGCAAAGTTTTGTAAAAATTAATATTGATACGATACATTGATGCAGATTATTGAAAAAATATAAATCGTAAAAATCAATTAAAGCATTTATTAAGTTTTTCAATACTTGAAGACTTGATGTATTGCAAGAATTTAGCAGCAAGAATTAAAACGATATACCGATGTTGCCACAATCTGATCCACAATATTGGTCACAATCAATTGCGGGATTTATTATGACCAATGACGGCGAAAGATAATTTTGGCAACATCGATAAAACCTAAACATAACAGAGAAACTGTAGCACCATGCATGATCAAATATGATGAAAAAATTTATTCATCATCATGTCATATATTGTAAAAATCAAACAAGAACAAGACAGGTAAAGTTATCGCTATAATTCACCACTATCTTTAAGAAACCTTGCATCTATTGTACGAATGATTTTTTCACTAAAAGCATTTTTTCAATACTCTGAATTTTAATTTTTGCAATACATGAAGTTCTCGTTTATGGAAATCCAGAAGATCATCAGAAGACGTTACTAATTTTTAACAATCACTGCTTCTAATGTATTGAAAAAATTAATTTATGCGATACATGACTACATAAAGTGTTATAAAAACTGATATTGAGTCGAAATATTAGATGGTCAGTAGCTCAGTATTGGAAAAATATATATTGCAAAAGTCAACTGAATCATCAATTAATTTTTTCAATGCTCGAAAGACTTTCAAGTATTGCAAAAATTAAAACGATAATAATAAGTTAAACAAAAAGTTCGAGAAGAAGAAAAAGATAACGTCTTCTTCTTCAAAATTTGTTGGCCTCTTGATCATCTATCTCTGGATAGATGAACACTTGGTCTTCCTCTATCTAAAATATATATCAGTATATATTTTTGTTATATTCAATAGGAAATACTACCCACTTTCTGTACGAACTCTTTCAGCTGAATATCCTTCAACCGAATCAATATTCATGGTCAAGTGATCGTAGAAAATTCAAGAATTCCCCCACTCACAATAATTTACAAAGTAAGATAACAGGCACAGCTCGCTCACAGCTTTTTGCTTTTAATTATTTTAATGGCTTTTTGCTTTCAATTCTTACTTTCAACAAGCGAAAGATCCATAATTATCTATGGAAGGATCGGAGCGAAAACGACAATGGTGGCCATAACATGTTCAATTTATAAACTACGCTACGGATGTCATTGACGCAGCGGTTGCGGTTGGAAAGATATTTATCAATTAATAATAATAAACTCCTTACTGCTGCACCTGTACAGGTGCATATAATATTAATTGATAACTACTCAATGTATGGATTTAATAATTGAACATATTCAGCATATTTATCTTCAAACGGCTGCTACGGAGTCGACTGCGGCTACGGCAGCAACGAAGTTTATAAATTGGCTTTTCGGAGTTTTCGGCACATTGAGCCATGACGGTACAGAGTATTCCATACTTATGGGCATTAGTAGTTATGTGATATTTTTTAAGATGAGTTGAGAACACGCCGAGAAGAAGAAAGATAATCGAATACCGAAGATTAATATATTTGTAACAATTCATTTTTTCAATTCATCATCATGTCAAGAATTGTAAAAATTATTGACGACAAGTAAAGTTGACTACAAAATCTACCACGATCTTTGTGAAGCCCTGAATTATTGGTATAAATGATATTTTAACAATGAGAATTTTTTTCAACACTTTGAATGATAGTTTTTGCAATACATGCAGTCCTCAAGTATTGAAAAGTAAAAAGGCGTTCCATATTATTCGGAAATGACTTTTTATTCAAGAGAGGCGGAAAAATCATATGTATAACATGGGGGTAAAGTATATTCTATTCTTCATTTTCCTGCAATTTCACGTATTACTTTACATAAGCCTACTTTTCGTCATAGAATTAGTCACTCCATAAATTATTCTCAGAGTTGGATTTCCGAATAATATATTTAGCATGAGTACATGAGTACATATGAGTACAGCAGTAGTTCAGAAACCCACATCGAGGTTTTCACCATTTCTCAATCATAAGGCTCAGCTCATTCAGCTCATAGTTAAATTACTGCTCAGCTAGAAATCAGAATTCATTCAGTCAATTCAGTCAACACTGGTATACAGTCTAAGAACAGTCTCTTTTGGTGAAATATATTAAGCTTTCAGTAAAAATTATATGTTCCCTACCTCGCAAAGATTATGCTGGAGTAGGGAACTCTAAAACTAGAGGATTGTTCAACTATATCTTGGTATAGTTGAATCAAAAATTCCTTATGGAAATTACGTATGATACGCCAATGACCTCATATGTTAAAAATAAACAATAAATTCGCACTCTTTTAGAAGAAATCATATATATAGTACATATATGGAGGAAATCTATTTTAGTCAAGGACATTCTTACGTTCGGGTACGTTCGCCTCCTCAGAAGGTGCTAGCCCCACGCTAGTCCTCTAGTCAGAACAGTAAATCTTTCGAACAACTCCTATTAACACATGATAATGTTCAGATTCGTGTTTTTTTATTATTATTATTTTCCGTAACGAAATTGTGGAGGCTGAGTTTGGTCAGGGAGTTTTGTTCTGGTCCACGAAGAGCATGGCGTCAGCCCATTGTGATCATTAGTGTAGTGATCAGGTTTGGGAATGGTTCGAATAGTTTAGGCTCTCGTCATATTATGTTTTGCTGCCAGTGTACGGCAATGAACTCATGGGTATGGTCCGTTAATCAACCGGAGTTACCGATGCTTTCACTCTCGGTACCAACAATTTTGACAGTGGTTATCTACTGGTGACTACGGTTGTGGCTTATTTACGGAATGCCAAAGAACTCAATATATTGAGGTCATTGCGGAATGTCAGTCATTTGCCAAATTATATTATTGATCGTTATTTTAAAAATTCATGCTCTGCCAGTATTTGATTTTCAATTATGGAACCCATAAGCATCTAATTCTTGTGCACAGTGAGCACAAGAAACGCATAAGTGTCCTAAAAATTAGAAAAAAAGTCATCAAACTAAAAATGTATCGAATATTCTTGATTTATTCCAGTGAATGAATCCATCGGAACTCAACGCAATAATAAATTAATAATTTGTAAATAGGTCGCGTGCACGATGACCGACCCTGGAGGCAAAATATTGAAACACAACCTCACTCTTCTGTGAATTATTGAAACACAACCTCACTTTTTTATTTGTTTACAGAGGAATCAAAAGGTTGAAATAGTTTTTCACAATATTTTGGCATATGAATCGTGTTTCTTGCGTTATTCATTGATTCAAGCATGCCTTCGCATTGTGCAGTTGTACAATGCACAAAAAATGCAGCAAGAGACTAGGGAATATGAATTTTCAGGTAAATAATAATCTCACATAGTTATCATCATGAAATGTTGTCATTCCTTATTAAAATTCCTTCTGCCTTCTGCCACTTCTGCAATACAAGCTAATACTGCTAATAGATTGAAAATTTCTACAACACACACGATCGTCAGCATGTCAGACCAGTCCTCCTGATTGATTGCATGAATCCAATCTTCTTGAATTATTCTAGAAATTTCAGGTATATTTCTATTAGCTCCTATTGCAGAAGGAGTTCCGATGAGAAATCAGAGAAATAACCAAATTTCAAAAATGAAAACTATATGTGAGTGATGAGTGACTATAGTAGGTACTTACTTTTAAATCAAAATGTACCATCCGGATTCCTTCATCTTCCGCTGCAGTTTTTGTGCATTTTACAACAGTAAAATGTGATGGCATGAGCGAATTGATGAATAGCGGAAAAATACGATTCATATGCCAAAATAATTGTGGAAAACTATTTCGATCACTTGTAAACAAATTAGAAAAGTGACGTGTTTCAATGTTTTGCCTCCAATGTCGGTCATCTGACAGTTCTTGCACGCAACCTATCGAAAAATCAAACCGAAAACTAAAACACGTCAACGTCAACTCAAATTCACCGAACTTACCAGATAAAATGCACGGTCGTTCTGGTGACAGTGAATCTACCGCTTTTTTCAGCAACCGAGTTCCGTAAATACCCTTTTTTCAGGAACCAACCGAATTTCATATTTACGGAACGGGAAACTACTAACCGACATAACCAAGTTGATTTAAGGAACATACCCAATATAAACACGACTGTGTCAAGCAAGATGCTTGACTCCCATCAAAAGTTGACTTGTTAACGTGGGCAGATTTGAAACTTGACCGTTACAAGTCAGATCATACGAGATCATACTGCCAAAATCGTTCCGAAATGAGATGAAAATTCAAAGCTGTGTTCCTAAATTGCCTACTGTAGGGCCCCATTGATGGAAATTGACGTTAAAATATGACTTCGACGTCAATTTCCATTTAAGGGACCGTACCTACTGCAATGAACTGAATATAAACAACTGAGTTCATTGACCTACTTTGGCCAGCTGTTCTTGTCATTTCTTTTGTAATAGATCTATTACTATTGTCATGGATCTATTACTATTTGCTGTTAACTCCAAAATATCATGTTTGATCTATTTCTGTGAGCAGCGAATGATTATGTTCTGCTCTATGAGTTTATGTCACAGTTGAGATGTTTATAAGTTGAGGCATCTTGGTCAGTTGGTCATAGGTTCTCTGTGACTTTTGCCTCATTCCTGTCTTTAATGTCTAATCTCTATATCCATGTCATAAGTTCTGTGTGACTTTTGCCTCATTCCTGTCATGAATGTCTAATCCGTGCGATAGTTCGACAAAAATTACCGTGCGATAGTTTAAATTACATAGAATCTCAAATGTCATTGCAAATGTCAGACTTCTCCAATCTATTACCTCTTGATGCAAATCTGTTACCTTTTTTCAAGGAAATCTGGTACGAAAAAATTACACCTTGGAACAACACCGACTGTGGCCAGTGCCAGTACTGCCAGTACAGTAAAATGATAAATGATCCTTGTCAGCTGCAATGCTGCAAAATTTAAATGTGGTATGACTGTGACTGGTATTATTGATATAATTTGAAGAATGTCATTTGAAGCATTATTCATTAAACAATAATATATAACAAAACAGCAAAGAGCCGTTGTATACCATCGAAGCCAATTTTAATTTTTTTAGAGAATTGATTTTGAATTTTCCAGCATTATTTTAGTTTACCTTTACCCTGATATTTTGAGTTTTTACGACTTTCACTAGTGATTATAAATAATCCAAGAAGAAAAAGTATATTTGAATGCTTATTCCTTTTCCTACAATTCAAAATAATGTTTTTGTTTCAGTGTCCATCCATTGGAAATATACACTTTTTCTACTGTTATTCTTATCTACATTCATTCCAGTATTTCCAGAAGAATGGATAGACCCTTATGATATGAACATAAAACCTCACATAAAACCAGAAAAAAACATCAAAGTCTCTGCAATACCTGCTATTGAGGAAAACCCAATGAATAATGATTGTTTGAAGCATGAAAAAGCCTCTGAAATAGCAACAGAAGATACCTCTACTGTATACTTGAAACGTGTAGTTGGCATGATATTAAATTTCCCTACTGTAGATAATGTGGGGCAAAATGTTAGAAGTGGTAAATATGTATTAGATACTGACAGCCAAAATTACAGGTTTTTACTTGAATTCACCCAAAAAGAGAACATCAACATACAAGACCTAAGAACTTTAGACTCCATATTGAGCAATGTATTTGATAAAAAAATTAAAGATGATGTTCTTGACTTCATCTCCAGCTCACAAAAAAACATATCTGCTTTGATTATCAGTGTTGAAACTTTGACACTAGTGTGTATCTGTGTTGGTTTGTACATAGTGTATAACTTATTCAAGTCCAAATTTTCATTCTGGTATATAATTGGCTATCTTCTTACCATTGTACTTATCATTGACTATGGAGTTAGGTATCGGATGCTATATGAGGTGAGTTATCAAGTTGTTAGAATGCATCTGCTTTATTTCAGAATTTAACTTCAGGAAGTTGAGGAACATAATATGAAAGTACAGTATTCTGATGAATGTGATACCAATAAAATGAGCTGGAAAGAATATTTCTTGTTTATTGCTGGTGAGTTAGCCTCATGAGGTATCTCATGTTTTTTATGTACCTACCTATAGAACTACCCCTGAGTAAGTACAATAATTTTCAGATCAACGAAAGTGTGAGAGAAGATACATAACCCCTCTGGAAGTTGCTTTATTTCAAGTTAAGCATATTATAATTATCCCAATGTCAGCTATGGGAACAGGAATGGGTAATTTTGGGAATGAATTGTGGAGTAAGTGATAATTTATTTTCCAGCACATTTTTCACATTATCTGATATCAATTATGTTCATTCAAAAGTTTTCACCTAGCATCACCCAGGTGGAAAATATGTACCTACATTATCACCTAGGTGGGGTCTGACTTGGGTCTGATGTACCCCATAATTAGAAATATGAGGGAAAAAACATTAGGAATATTTACAGATTTGTATGTGAAATGAGTTTTCAGATGTATTTACTTGAACAGAAACTTTTTGTATTGAGATGATTTCATGAGATATCAATGACATACAAATTGTGAAATTCTCATAGAAAAAAACATGATATCTTTGAAAACTGTTTAAAAAATATCCAACACTCAATTCTGTAAGATCTCATGCAATATTAATTATTGAAATGTTCAAGTTATCAGCTATAAAAGTAGCATGTAGTATATGAGAATATATTAAAAGTAAAAAAAAAATTAATAAAAAGCTTTCATTTAAACACTCTAAAAATAATAAAATAAAATGTTCCTTTATAATTTCAAGTATCAACTTATAACCTCATTATACACAATTTATTTAATCATAAAACTTGTGGTGTGATTACTTGTGTGAATAAACTAGTACAAATTTTAATTTTGTAAAATCTGCAGTTTAAATTTTCGAAATTTCAATTCAATTGAATATTGATTAGGACAAGCTTTTATGATCATATAATTTGTGTATAATGAGGTTATAAGTTGATAGTTGAAATTATGAAGGAACATTTTCTTTTATTCGTTTTAGAGCAGGGTTGGGCTGATTTAAATCAATTGATTTAAATGAAGATAAAAATCATGATTTAAATCAAGTGATTTTTTTTTAAATCACAATTTATATCAAAATAATAATTTCGAGAACATTTATTATTTATTTGAATAATAAAAAATATTAAACTGAAATAAAATAGTAGAACGCCTGAAAAAACTGGATATTGAAATATATACATATACAGGCTACAGGAATTTTCTTGTACAGACATGTCGGTCGACCCACATCGTCCTACTGAGAATGGCTTTCTTTGTGAATTATATTTTGTTTTAATTTTATAATACTCAAATTCATGAAATACACAAAATTAAAATAGTTTTGAGTTAACAAATGGACTTGAATGTTGACAGGTACCTATATTTATCGCGCAATAAGACCAAAAACAAAAAAAACAGAAAAATCCAAAAAATCATGATTTTTTTTATTTAAATCAATGATTTTTGATTTGAAAAAAAAATCAAGATTTGCCCAACCCTGTTTTAGAGCCTATAAATAAAAGCTTTTTATTGATTTTTTTTTAATTTTAATTTTTAAGAGCTTTGAACCTAAGTAAATAACGGCGTAGTCGACAGTACTACCTTGCATTTTGTGTACCCACATAATACAATTGGCAGCATTCTCTTGACTTTTGCAAGCAACCAGCATATCCAAATATCTCTTATACTCCATAAAAATGTTGATGTTGATGACTTGGCAACAATGTGCTGAATGCTGAGAACTGACAATTACAATTCATGCTCCGTGTTGTCACGTTTACCCTCAAATGTCCTCTAGTGTGAATTACTATAATAATATTATCATTGATACAAACGTATTATAAGAAATAAGCCACAACAGATGATGGACTATTTTGAGACAATTGATTTTTTATGTCTAATTAGGAATATAACCAATACAAAATTTAGAATGTATGAACTATTGAATAACTAATATTTCTTAAGTTCCAATCTTATTTCAACATATGGCAGTTGTGCTATGGTCTGTCCCTACTAGGGTTTGCAATCCCAAAATACCGATACCGGAAATCCCGGGGTCCTAGTGATATTTTCATACCGAGAATCCCGGAATCACATCCGATTAGATCCCGGGAATTTCGGGATTACTTTGAACAATAAGACTTCGCTTTCGTCAAGTGAATCAGATTATTATTATTCGAGGTTCCTGAAAAAAAGTTATTATGGAGATACTCGTGAGTCATACAAAACGTTTGTTAATAGTTTCAGAGGCAATAATAATTGATGAACAAGATGATGAGGAATATAGAATTCCTCTTGCGAGTCAAGCGTCACCGAGTGTGTCACCGACTCAACCTATATAGATATCATATAACAAAGGAAATTACCCTTTTCGAAAATGGTGACAACAAAGATACATATCTTCTAACAACTATACCACTCACAAGTGTAGAATATGAAAGAGTACCTATTTTCCGCAGCTAGTACCATTTGCACAAAAATCAGCACTCGACTGGCAGATCATACCATTTATAAGTGGATTTTTGTACGCTCCTGGTCCAGTCAACAGGATATGTTCGGCCTTTTTTCTCTGTACTTTTTGATGTATAGATTACATTTTTTGTTCATATACGAGTATTTCTGTGATCATTACGTATCTACAGTAGGTATACCCCATACTTTTTTCAAATTCTAATCCCGATACCGAAATCCCGGGATCCCGGGTTCGTATCAATTTGATCCCGGAATCCCGGGATTGTATTATCACTCCGGGATTGCAAACCCTAGTCCCTACTCACGAAATCCTGACGTCAGTTTCTACTCGCGGTAAATTTTTAGCCGTTTGATACCGTGGCATTTTTGTTGATTTCAGCACCATCAAATCGAACGAAAAATTCTAAAAAAATATGGAATTGAATGGTATTTAAGTGATGATTCTATTCAAGGAATAAAAAAAGTTAGTCCACTCGCCTATTGACAGGCTGATTTATTTGGATGTTCATTTAGAACGACAATGTTACTGCTCGGACCATTATTTCCCTATTGAAATGTTTTCAAGTTTTCATTATCATTCATTTTTACATGCATTTCTTAACACCTCTCTACTCTTTCTACCAGTGGCGTAACTAGAATTTTTTTGCCCCAACGCAAAATACAGTCACAAATCACAAATAGTAAAAAAATAAAACAACGAACTGAACAGGCATTATTTTTCAAATATTTTATTTCACATAATTATACTACAACAATGAGTAACAACATATTTTTTTCATAAATAAAAAAAAATTCAAAATAACTCCAGATTTTCTGAGCAAAATGAAACTCAACGTGTTTTTTCATTGAATAAAAGCAAAACTTCAAATACCTTCAACTTTACATTCAAACTAAAATTATTGAACGATAAATGTTTTTTTTTTGGCTTTACACATTGCAAATTCATTTATCAAATTTCTCAGGTCTAATTTGTTGGCAGCTTCACTTTCGATGGAAATTAAAGATAAATATTTTAATCGCTCTTGCCCCATTTGATTCCTCAAATAACTTTTGATCAGTTTCAATTTACCAAATGATCTTTCAGCTGACGCAGATGTAATTGGCATGGGAAAAATAATAATAGGACAATATAAACTTGTGGAAAGTCACACTCCAAATAATTATATTTCATTAACAAGAAATCGGCAAAATTTTTTACAGACTTTTCTGGATTTAATTCTGATTTCAACAATGTAACCATGTTAATAAATTGTAAAGACATATTTGGCGATATGATTTGAGAATATTTTTTTTGAATGTAGTCACACCTCTCAAGGATTTCCGACTCTGTTGAATTTATAAAATTTTTAGGTTGTAAAAATAAAAAGATATCACTCACTTTATTGAACCCTGTAAATCTATTTGTTAACTGACCGCTGACCGTCTGCGTCATGAGTCGCGCCCAGAACTAATGCAGAACATAAACTGGGCGTCAATTGAAACGTTAATAGTGAAATTTGGCATCAAGTTTGACTTCTCGTAATTTCTAAAATATTGAACCAATTTTGAATTGCCGCCCAGATTCTGAATGCCTTTTTCATCGTCTTTCGAACCGTTCCTTACAGCTTCTTCTAAATTGATCAGGACCCGTGATACAGGGTGAAACAAAGTTTCGTGCATTTTGAAAAAAATTTCTCCGTCCCCCCATTTTGTCGGAAGACCACGATGCTCATATTTTATTCGGGCATTTCATAAATAGCAACCATACCTCGGGACGTTTTCGAGTTTTTGCCAAAAACTACTGTGGTTTCCAAAATTTTTTTTTTGTATTTTTTCAAATGGACTAATTTTAGAGGAGTTCCATAAATGGATGCTTTTATGCATTTCAGGAAAGCGTTGGAGCAAATATGTATACCAGGTTACTCAAAAACAATCAATAATTTATTACTTCGCAGTCTATGATAAAAGTTGTCTACCTTAGTGAGCAGTAAATCAACACATCTCGTCAACAAGAACAAACAACGATACCTTGTTTCTATAACAACGTATTGTTGAAACAATGTAGGTATGCATAGAGGTTATATCAATTGCTAATTTTCATGAAAACGTCAGTGTAATTCGGGTCCTAAAAAATTTAAAGATGCCTCGTTCAAATCGGGTCGAAATGGAAAATATCATTTGGTAAGATCATTATAGTGATATAAACTATAATTCAGTACAGATAATTAATATTTCAGGTTATGACGATTAGGCTATACCCAAACTCATTTAAGTACCATTTTCAATAAGTCAGTCATGACAATAAATAGACTGATTCATCGTTTTGAGGATACAGGTAATCAGGCCATTTAAAAAAAATGCAAAAACATTTTTTTTTCGAAAACCACGGTAGTTTTTGGCAAAAACTCGAAAATGTCCCGAGGTATGGTTGCTATTTATGAAATGCCTGAATAAAATATGAGCATCGTGGTCTTCCGACAAAATGGGGGGGCGGAGAAATTCTTTTCAAAATGCACGAAACTTTGTTTCACCCTGTATCACGAGTCCTGATCAATTCAGAAGAAGTTGTAAGGAACAGTTCGAAAGACGATGAAAAAGGCATTCAGAATCTGGGCGGCAATTCAAAATTGATTCAATATTTCAGAAATTACGAGAAGTCAAACTTGATGATGCCAAATTTCACTATTAACGTTTCAATTGACGCCCAGTTTAGTAAAAATAATGTTTGCTTGACAGAAGCGTCCCTAGATTCAGTTGGAGAAAAAACCTACAATATTAGGAACTGCTTCAAATATTCGCATATTTCAGTTTTTTTTTTCATTAAAGTCCGACGAGTGGGCCCCCCAAGCTTGGGGGCCCCAACGCATTGCGCTCACTTGTCTTATGGTAGTTACACCACTGCTTTCTACAGACTCATGAATTTATTAATACACTCCCCGAAAATAAATTCCGGACAGTGAAATTTTTAGCAAAATTGTTCGCCCTGTAACTTCCGTAATCCTCTTCCGATTTCGATGAAATTTCGACCAAAGCGTAGAATTATTTTTCGCAAAATCAGCCTGATATTTTGTTCCGAAAAACATCTATTATCCTAATCATTATATAGGGAAAAACAATAGTTATTTATGTATCAAGGGAATTATGAGGGCCTTAATTACCGATGGCAAAGTTTGCGTCCCGAGGGCCCCTGGCCCGAGGGACAGCAATTGCCAGAGGTTATTAAGGCTCTATAATTCCCGTGATACATAGATAATTTTATTTCTGACTGATTTCATTCATTAGATACCTTCCCGATTGGAAGTTAGACATGTTTTTCCGTATAGTTTCAATGTCATCAGAACGTCAGATGATGATCTTGACTACCGCGAATAGGAGATTCCTTATTGCTACGTTATTGCGTGGTTGTTGCTATGCATTTCTTATTTAATTTTAGCTAGAGGGAATTATAGCATCTATAACATCCCAAGGGAGTTATGACCCTCATTATAGATATCGTAACTATGACGATATAAGCTTATAATATCACTGTCAGAAATAAAAGAACTTTTCTACCCTCAACTTCTTAACGCCCTGTGGCAAAAGTGAGCAATTAAAATCAGTTTCATTATGTTTAGTATTGAAGTGTGATTCCTTCTCAATACATCTGTTCTTTGAATCACGTCAATATCTTCTTTTCAAGAGAAGATACAAAGGTTTCAAGAAAGTATGGCATTTTCCGAGGCATTTTCTAATTTTTATCAACAATATTCCACAACCTACGTGAACTCATTCATCACACTGGTCTTTGGTTGCGTAGTAACATGAAAAGTATTGTTTAACAAAGTGTCAGTATTCTGCCATTCCATTTTTTGTTGTGTGTTGAAGTTCTGTACAAGATGCGATTAGTTGGTTTCGTCGGACTGGTGAGTACATACGACGTAAGGGATCAGGTTGACCACGTGTTACCAATCAACGTGATGACCATCTCATCAATCTAACAGCATTACGAGATCGTGGCACACCATCTACAGTTATAAGTCATAGAATACAAGATGTACGAGGTACAACAGTTTCAGCTCGGACCATTCAGCGTAGATTGAAAGAAAGAGGATTAATGTCCAGAAGACCCGCTGCATGTCCTCTGTTACTTCCTGCACATCGCACAGGGCATTTTGATTTTGCTCGTGAACATAGCTACTGGAGAGCCCAAGACTGGGCGTTTTTGTTTGCGCTTCTTTGACGGACGTGAACTTGTCTGGAGGAGGCCGGGTGAACGATTTGCTCAGTGTTGCATATTGCATATCTCCAAGAACGCCATTTTGGTAGTATCATGGTATGGGGAGGAGTATCATTAAATGCTCGTACAAACCTGGTGCTCATAGAAAATGGTTCTTTAACTGCTGATCGTTACATCCGACAATGTTTAGCTGAACATGTGGTACCCTTCGCCGGCTTTGTTGGGCAAAACTTTATTTTAATACAAGATAATGCCAGTCCTCATGTTGCGCGAATCGTGACAGAATTGGACGAGGTAAATATTCGCCGATTAGATTGGCCCCCGCGTAGTCCCGACCTGAATGCTATTGAGCACGTTTGGGACATGCTGGGTAGACGTGGTCGCAATCGCCACCCAGAAACATTACCGGATTTGCGGACAACCCTCCTAGAAGAATGGGAAAATATTCCGCAAGAGGCCATTTACAACCCCATTGAGAGTATGCCTCGTCGCATAGAGACAGTACTAAGAAAACGCGGTGGCAATACGCGATATTGATTTTTAGTCATTTGTTTTTCATTTCAAGTTGTTAATGTTTTTGTTCTGAATAATTGTTGATGAATATAAAAAATGCCATATTTTCTTGAAACACTTGCATCTTCTCTTCAAGAAAAGATATTGACGTGATTTATGAACCATTTTGTTAAGAAGGAATCACACCTCAATACTAAACATAATGAAACTGATTTTAATTGCTCACTTTTGCCTCAGGGCGTTAAGAAGTTGGGGGTAAAAAAGTTACTTTTGTTTTTCCCTGTATAATGATTAGGACAATAGATGTTTTCTGGAACAAAATATCTGGCTGAATTTGTGAAACATAATTCTACGCTTTGGTCGAAATTTCATCGAAATCGGAAGAGGATTACGAAAGTTACAGGGCGAAAAATTTTGCTACAAATTTCACGGTCCGGAATTTATTGTCGGGGAGTGTAGTTTCACATTCTTGTCAAATAAGAAAGTTGTCTCGGATAACCTTGAATATTAATTGTGACTTTTTTCTAGGAGCCTTGCCTTTTCCCTGGAACTTGCTCATTTTCCCGCTAATGTTATCTTTCGTACTCGTATTGGTGGCCATAATGATGACGTCTCTGAACGGCTCGCCCTTCAGATTCAACTTGTTGCATTTGATACAGTTGGAATTCGGGAAGAGATCAGATGAAACCAACAGAGTGTCAGGCCCAACGTTGGACAGACTGCTAGATTCCGTACGGGGGGGGATTCACCGACCTATGGTACAAGATTTATCCTCTGCTTCAGAATCCAATAGAAAAAAACCGAGGAAGCAGATTAAAAATAAGGAATCTTCTCCTCCCAAGGGAAATATTGATAGTTCTCCAAAAGATAAACAAGTGGAGAAAGATGGACAAGAATCGAAGTCATCAAAATCTCAGCGGACAACGCCAGCTAAACTAGGAGGATCGAATAGTGTTAGTGCTCCTGCATCAATTGAAAAAAACCGTTCAAAGGTGGAAAATTCGAGTAGCAGTCTTGATGTTTCTTCTGGGAGTAAGGAAGACTCGAAAGACTAAATGAGTGATATTTTTTTGATTATACTTAAAAAATATATCTAGGTATTGTAGCACAACCATCCTGTGACTATTTGAAATGGATTTTAAATATATTCTTTATAAAAGGAAAAATTTCACTTGCTTCATCTTCTTGTTAATATTCCGAATTTCATTTCATGAAAGCATAGGTATTCCTTCTTTTCTTCCTACTGGCACTAAAACACACCATATTATGAATGCGTTCACCTACACCTGAAAAATACTTATTTCTCCGATTGGCAGCAAATATTAATTTTGCTGACACATATCAATCAGCAAAGTATTACTTTTCCTGCCTAGGCAGTGTAACGGGACAATCAGGTTCCACGTCCTTCCGTTCCTTATCGCAGCCATTATATTCGCTATTGTTGATATATAATATATATAAATTCCTTTAGGCGTGTACATTTGGTTGTTGGGTAGGTATTACTTTGTCTACTAAATAATTGTTTAATTTGTTTTGGTATAATCCTAATTTATTTGAGCATCATTGCGCCATCTACCAACGAGCCAATAAGCTGCAAGACCATCAATGTTGGAGAGGTGGTAGGAATCTATCAGTTGTTGTTGTTGTTGGTATACCCTACGGACAGGGGGCGCTACAGGTATGATTTTTCGAAGACATGTTTTTTGCGCCATTCAACCACACATTTGATTGTGATAAAAACTAGTGTGGGAGATAAGGTTCTTGAACGAGGCCTTTTTGATAGCAAAACCTGAAGGCAGTCACACCTCTCTTCAAATTGACTCTCTAATAAAACTTAATGGTAGAACCTAAGGGTCTATATACAGTCTGTCCAAGATAAGGTTGAACAGCATAAGGATTACGAAAACGGTAGGAGATAGGAAAAAGTTGCCGAGGCTCATATCAAGAGCCTTCGAACATCTTCAAAATTATTTCTAGTTTTAGAGAAAAAAGTGGATTTTTGGAATATCTGTTTTATTTTTTTTTCTCCGTTATTATTAGAGGTACAGAAAAACTGAGAATACTTTTTTATAGCAACTTTTGATGACGTTTAACGTGGTGAAACCTATTTTGGTATGCGACGTTTCGTATCCGTAGAACCATCATCAACTTTTGTTTTTTAAATACGGTCCTGATAATTTTTTCACAGATTCTGAAAGGTTTTTTTATTCTGAATTCAACAATGTACTATACAAGGTGATTCGAATGTGTTTCGATCTATTTCTATCCATCATCAATGTTTTTTCGAAATTCCAAAGGAAAAGTGTGCCATCAGTTCCACTCATTACTGATCATTTATTGTCAAACATTGATGGATTAGTTTTTCAATACCGGGAAATGAATAAAAAATATTTCACTACAACATTCAATGCAGCGCTTAAAATTGCTGTTGATGAATTCTTACACGAATTACTTTAGCAACTTAACTATGACAATACCTACAGAAACATTCATAACAAATGTTCAAAATGATGATCATTATTTTTTTAACAAAGATATCCTCTTCTCACAGTTGCTTCTAAGACATTACTGAGCATTTCTGGGGTTACTCTATTGAATGCTTCGATGACACTGTCCCTTAGTTCTTCTTCATCATCGAAGTTATTTGCGCATACAAAGTTTTTGATATATCCCATAAGAAAAAATCCAGCTGTGTCAAATCAGGCGACCGCGCCGGCCAAGGGACTGTAGAATGAGTACCAATCCATTTTTCTGGATAAAAACGCACGGACTTCTCTGGAATTATGTACCGGAGCGTCATCTTGTTGAAACCAACAGTTCTGAGCTTCCGTAATCGGTAAATCATCCAGAGCTTTCTCAAGATGATTCTCAAGCAAATTTCTATAACGTTCGGAAGTCTGTGTTTCATGGTAAATAAAAGGACCAATTTTTCGTGTACCAAATAATGGAACCCACATATTAAAGCCGAAACGGTGTTGGTGTCTGCTGTAATGTATAATTGTTCATTTTCTCAGGAACAATAATGTGTATTTTTTCTATCGAAGATACCATGATTAGTGACCATGCTTTCATCAGTCCAGATGAAATCTACAAAATTTTGACATTTCCTGGTATACCACTCACAGAATGTCCTGCGCCTTTCGTCATCGCCTGGTTTTAGCGCTTGACATATCGTCGGCGATCTGACAATACCTGCTAAGTAACATTTTTTTCGAATATTGGTATTTCATGCAGTTATAGCTTTCAATATTCATTGCGCACAATCTGAAATGAACTGCTACCTCCAGATGAATCCTTTGTTCACTTCATTGAAGGAAAACAATATCTGCTATCGGCTTGACCTGTTACTCGATTATGTTTTATTCATCTCCTGTAAAAAAACCTGCTCTGCACTATATTGCACTTAGCAGGTATTGTCAGTTCGCCGACGATATTCTGAATTTGAATGGATGGAATTTTTGTTTTTGCAAAATGAAATGGGTTGTTGACTGAAACCAGTTGATGAAGTATTAGTGTGTTGACTAATTTTCCTTCAAAATAAGTGGAACTAATGGCATTTTTCCTTTGGAATTTCGAAAAAACATTGATGATGGCTAAAAATAGGTCGAAACACAAATAAACCACCTTGTATAATACATGGTTGAATTAACAATAAAAAAACCTTTCAGAATCTGTGAAAAAATTATCAGGACCGTATTTCAAAAACAAAAGTTGATGATGGTTCTACGAATACGAAACGTCGCATGAAAAAATCGGATCATCACGTTAAACGTCATCAAAAGTTGCTATGAAAAAGTATTCTCAGTTGTTCTGTATCTCTAATATAATAACGGAGAAAAAACATAAAATAGATATTCCAAAAGTTCACTTTTTTCGATATAACTCAAAAACTAAAAATAATTTTGAAAATTTTCGAAGGCTCTTGATATGAGCCTCCGAATGCTCAACTTTTTCCCCATTTAACCGACTTCGTATCTCCTACCGTTTTCGAGATCCCCATGCTGTTCAACCTTATCTTGGACAGACTGTATAGCAATTGCGAAAACGCTTCGTTTTTGTGACCTGGTCAACTTTACAGGTAGGCAAAATTATGTATTTTTATAAATTTTTCCTCAATTTAAAACTTTTTTCCACGTGGTCATGAGCTTTGATTTTTGGTTAAGAATTATAATGATTTTCTCAGACCAGATATTAACAATATCATCGACGCGTACTCAGAATCAGTTATTTCTTAAGTAGTTGCAAATGAAAGCATCAAATATGTCCTTAAAATCAGTTATTTTCACAAGTAATTCAAATTAATATAGTGTAGTCTTGTTTCATCAATATTTGTATAAACTATATATCATGGTCAACTTTACAGTTTTAGTGAGACAGAGGATCGTCCTGTATAGATGGATATTTAATAACATTCAATAAATGTACTGAGTGGATTGCGTAATCCTGTGTTATTTCTACGGCCTATGGGTTACCAACACGACCACCCAGCGAGCACAAAAACATCTCAGAGATGTTAAAAGTACGAGATTTCGAGACATTTCACACATAAATAGAAGTATTATAGAATAGCCAATGTCCGCCGCAGGCGGCAATTATCGAGATGTCCTTGATATGTCACAAAACTACCTTCTCCCTAGTTCTTTTTAAAGCCATTTCATGGACACAACAGAACGCGTCTTGCACACATTAAATCGATGTAAAAAAACATTTTCAAGGTACTTTTCTGAAGCCTTTTGTCAAAATGAACTTTTGCATTAGGATTCCATTTCCCTTGAATGAAAAAATGCATTAAAAATAGATTGAACATAAAAATATTTTCTTGATATGAAATTACCCTCTTAATCGGTTTCTGAGTAGTGCTTACTACACACAGACATATAATTGGAAATGGGTTTCCCAATTTTTGAAATGTTCCCCACAATGCATAATTTTGCAACTGCGGAGAAGCTGTGTATTGATGAATTCGTACTTTTATATATTGATTACCTACACTGAGGCACCGAACAACACATCTTGCATCTGATGGTCATTATTACAAACTAAATAAGTCTTCTTAACACAATAAACTTCACCAAATTCCTTTCTGTTCGTTAGCAGCGTGATGTAAGCGTGACACGCTGCAAACGCGAATGCCAATTGTGAACAAGAAGAACAAAATCGAAAACAAATCAGAATTCATCGTATTGTGACGTAAGCATGAGACGTTGTGGTGGGGCAAACAAAGAAAGGTCACAAAAGAACAAAAACAATACTTTCAATATCCTTCTAAGACCTCTTTGGGAAGTGCATATCACGCCTCAAAAAAACATCCTCATGCCCATATTTCTAAAACATCCCAAAACATCCCAGGGATGCCTCTCAGTAGGCAAACAAAAAAATGCCACAGAAGAACAAAAACAATACTTCAATATTCTTCAAAGACCGCTTTGGTCAGTGCATATTACGTCTCAAAATAACATCTTCATGCTAACATTTTCAAAACATCACAAAACATCCCAGGGATGTTTGTGCTCGCTGGGTATTTATTTGATGAACCAAGATCTAGTTCCAAGCTTTTTGATCATATTCTCAAACACCCATCTCTATTGGTTATTTCTGCAGAATACTTGAAAAAATCTATATCCCTCCAATCTTTTTTCCTTTCTCAATTCCACTGATGTGAGATGGCAATATAATAATGCTACACTTTTAATATACCTACGTTGTGAGGCACATTCGCTATGGTAGTTTGGCTAACAAGTGAGGTACGTAGTTTTTGAAAGGTATCAGATTAGTATAGAGGTCAGATAATTTATACGACGCTATAAAAGCAGATGATATTTTATCATTGCTCATGTAAGATGGAAGTAGAGGCCATGGCACCATATCATGAGCATATTTTTATATTGAAACTATCATTGGGCACCAAAGATGTGTATGAAAGTTCAGAGAACTGGAGATTTTTCCCACAAACTACGTACTTAGCCCACTCGAATGCCAATAGGGACTAAAAAAACAAAAACAAAAGAAAGTTAAAACAATGCCAACATATTTCTTCTTTGTGGGAAATCAAGATAGTCGAGTGAGCTGAGTACGTAGTTTGTGGGAAAAAATCAACACAGTCGAGTGAGCTAGGTACGTAGTTTATGGGAAAAAAAATCAAGACAGTCGAGTGTGCTTTTTTTAC